AGCTGGCATGGGTGCCCTGATCACATCATCACTGACACCATTTGCCACCACCTGGGGCCCCAACTGGTCGCAGAAGACTGGTGATCTCATGGCACTGTGGGGTGAGGTAGAGGTGCAGCGCCAGTTTGTGCAGGGTGGGTGCTCCAACACCCATGTCTGTGAGGGGCTGTTAGGCTGGATGCAGCATTGTGGGCAAAATGGGTCAGTGTGGCAGTGCCACATAAAGGTCATAGCCTTGTGGACACAGTGGGTCACCATCACCAACCACAATCGTCGGTTGACGCATGCCCCTTTATGCAGCAGTTGACTGAGATCCTTGCCCCCCAGAACCCAGGCCACAGCCGTGCTGTGTACAGCAGCATGGGTGGCCTGCCTGAGCCCTTGCTCTGGCCTGGCACCTGCGGTGACATGTCACTGAGGGGGGGCCCCTCAGGGCACCAGCAGTCTGTCCTGCCAAGCTCCCCACCCCCAGCTTCCACCAGCAGGTCAGGGAGCCTGGGTCAGTGCCTGCCAGCAGTGCCAGCTCAACCCTGGGGCAGGGTCCCTTGCCAGGTGTCTGCATGCTGTATCCCCTGCCCGAGGACACCACTAGGAACTGTATGCTATTGCTGCCAGCTGGGATCAATAGAAGCTGCTGGGCACACCAGCTTTGCCAACGTGGTAAACCCTGCACTGGGGAGGAGGGCCCTACCCACCCTGCTCCCAGCCCCAGCACCTTCTCATTGCCCTCCTTCCCTGCCCGGGCTGCCCAAGCTTCCCTGACCCCCAGATTCTCCCCCACAGCACGCAGGGAGGTGGGAGACAACCTTTTGCACTAAGCAGCCCATGCCCTCACAGCTGGCAGGCATGGGCCTCTAACACACTGAGGAACACATCAATGCCAGTTGCAATGTTCTCCTCAGCTGCAGGGGGCTGGTGGGCATGGCCAGCTTCCACGAACAACATGTGCCCCCAGCAGCTTGAGGGGCATGGTGGCAGGACAGCATAGTGGTGGGAGCGCAGTGGCAGTAAGCAGGGAGCTCCTGCAGGTGCTGTCAGTGGCAGGGGGGAGGGGTGGCAAGTGCCAACCAGGGGTTGGCGACTGCCTGCAGATGATGCCAGCAGTGTCAGTGGCAGGGCAGGTGCCTTTTTGTAGGGGGTGCACCACCACGCTCAAGGGGTGCATGTGCATGTGCACTTGTGTGCACCCCCTACGTGTTGCCAGGGCCGCTGCGTGTTGGTGTCCTGCTACTCCAGGTGTGGACAGAGCTGCTCCAGGAGGTCCCAGAAGATGGCCTGCTCATCCCACCACTGTTCATTATTCCAGGTGTGCTTGACAACATGCAGCCACCAGTCCTGGCTGGCCTGGCAGGAATGAAGGGCCTGGAGGACAAGAGCATCCCCAGCAGTAGCATCCTGGTATGTATCATTAGTGTCCTCATCAGGGTCCAGCCAGCAGGATGGGATCCAGGCAGCAGGTGTGTAGTGGCAGCAGCCCTGACACGGTGAGGTAGGGCCAGGCAGGTGGTTGCTGCATATGATGGAGCCGACAGGGCCCAGATGGCTGTGGGCCAGCTGCCGGCATGATGGGTCAGCTGGGTCAGTGCAGCAGCCAGCAGGAGCCTGGGGCACTGGGCATTGCTGCCAGGGGCAGGGTCTGGAGCAGCCATGGCACAGGAAGGCAGAGGCTGCGACATGAGAGCTGCCGTGTGCTGCCCCATGCTATACACGTGGTTCCTGGTCAAAAATGCAGCTGGCCAGGGAACAAGGATTGGGGTTGCCTTTTAAAGAAGGTATCTGGCCATAGGCAGCTGTGATCAGAGCCTTGAGCTCCCCCATGTGGTGACAGCAACCCACTGCAGGGCTCCAGGAAGCAGGAGCAGCAAATCTGCTCCCAATTCCTGCACATGTAGACACCTGCCCAGGAGTGTTTACTTGCAAGTATTTTACTCGAAAGTAAACTGGTCACATGCCAAATACACATGTAGACACACTCTCCTTGTGAGAAAGTTTTTCCTAATATCTAACCTAAACTTCTCTTGCTACAACTTGAGACCATTGCTCCTTGTTCTGTCATCTACCACCACTGAGAACAGTACATTTCCATCCTTCTTGTAATAACCCTCCAGGTAGTTGAAGGCTTTTATTAAGTTGTCCCTCAAGGCATGTCCAGATGAGTGTGGATGTTTGTTTCCCTGGGGATGAGCAGCGGTAGGACACCTTGTGACACCCTTACTTGTCTCTGGGGAACTCCCATGCCATGTGAGCTCTGGTGCGCAGCAGGTTACCCTGGATGGGTTAGTGGAAGCAGGGGCCAGTGATTGTTCTGGTCCCAGGAGCCTTACCGGGAGTCCTGGAAGCTTCCTGGAGCTGCAGCCACAGGAAGAAGACTGGCCAGCAGCCACAGTCTCTCTCCAGCTGGTCAGGCTGCAGTTTTGTGTGGTGTGTGCCGGGGCGGGTGCATGTGCACCCCCTCAGTATGGTGGTGCACCCCCTACAAAAAGCTGCCACTGACACTGTTGGCAACGCCTGTGGGTGGTCGCTGCTCGCCACCTCGCTGCCAACACTTCCGGCAGTGTCTGAGGGTGGTCAGTGATCCCCACTGGCCCCCACCGATGCTGCTGACAGCAGCTGCGGGTGGTTGCCGACCGTTGGTCGGTGCTCACCCCCACTGCCCCCCACTGCCGATAATGCTGGTGGAGTCTGCAGGAGCTCCCAAGGTTACGGCCACCAGGTTCCTGTCACCACCATGACCCTCAGCCACCGAGGGCACAAGTCATTCATGGTGAATGCTGCTACCATGTGTGCCACAGTGCTTTCTTCGGTGTGGGTTTTTTTGACCCCAGGATCTCCCAGGCCAGCCTCCCCCCCCACTGCAAGGTAGCAGTGCAGAGAACGGCTGCATGTGTGGTGTGGGGTGCTGCAGATGGGTCTGTGGTGCCACATGTCCGTGTTTGTCTGGTCTGGACATGACCCACAGTCCTCTCTTCTCCAGACTAAAAAAGCCTAGTTCCCTCAGCTTGTTCTCAAAAGTCACATGCCCCAGCCCCCTCACCACATTGGACTCTCTCTAATTTGTCCACATCCTTTCTATAGCGGGGGGCCCAAAACTGGACAAAATACTCCAGATGTGGCCTCAGCATTGCCAAATACAGGGGAATAACCACTTGCTTTGATCTGCTGGCAATGCTCCTTTTAATGTAGCCCAGTTTGCTGTTAGCCTTCTTGGCAACAAGGGCACACTGTTGCTTCGTACTCAATTCACTGACCACTTTAACCCTCAGGTTCTTTTCTGTAGAGCTGCCGCTTAGCCAGTTTGTCCCCAGCCTGTAATGGTGCATAGAATTGTTCCACCCTAAGTACAGGACTTTGCGTCTGTCCTTACTGAACTTAATAACATTTCTTTTGGTCCAATATTCCAAATTTGTTGAGGTCTCTCTGAATTCTAGCCCTAACCTCCGGTGCATCTACTACTCCACCCAGTTTGGTGTTATCTGCAACCTTGCTAAGGATGCACTCACCCCATCTTCTACGTCATTGATGAATTTGCAAGTTGTATCATCTTTCATTTGGCTTAGCACCTTTGAGGATCACACTTTGCTCACAAGGATGAAACCTCTCACTTCTTGTATATACTTTAATATATACACTCATAAAAGTAAGGCCCTTTAAGGATTGCACTTCAAGGATACTTAAGCAAATTATGGGTAACTGGACTTTCTACAGAATGCTAGACCATATTTGGTGAACTAGATTACACATTCAGTCCTCAGTCAGCCTAGAGTGGTCTTTCCAAGACTGCTGCTTCACTTCACGACTGGAATATCTATTAGCTATTACTGTACAGAACTCTGGGGCTAGTGGGTTTGTATAGATGTGAATCATAGCTCCTCCCAGAAATGCCTTGTTTACCTGAAGCCAACTGTCAACAAACAATTATAGTTATGTAGGATGTTCTTTTCTCTATGGTATAAAGAGCTCTAGGAGCACTATAACAAGTAGAGATTGTATTATGCTGTTTTATGCTGGAATATTTTTTTCCTGTGCTTCATACACGTAAGTGAATACCACATAACAAATGCCAAGAATTAAATGGTAATTCATTGCTTACTAAATTAACCTGGATGCCATACAGGGCAACATTACAAGGAAATAGCTTTAAACAAAGCATGAAGGAAGCTGATATACTTGTGCTATCAAGTATTTGCATATCAGGTGGGGAAGCTTTGAGACAAAACTTACAAAGCCAAATTCATATCTGGTTCAGTTCCATCCTAGGCAACAGAGTAACAGCAGGAATGAATTTGGCCTTTGTACAATTGCCACTGCACTGAATGGGATGTAGGCCAGCATAGAATGTGGCCTCCAGGTCTTCTAGGAACACCGAATCTGCTATACTGGATCCAACTCAACATCTATCTTGTTTGGTATTCTGTCTCAGGCAGTGGTCAGTGCCAAATGCTTCAAAAAAGGACTTAGGAACCCTGCTGCAAGTAGAGACAACATAAGCTACCCAGCCTGACCCCTGTATTGGGTCTTATTCTGAGTTCTACAGTCTAATCGCATTTTGCATGAAAACTCTATCCTTTTATCAGTTTTAAATTTGTCACACTAATTTATTTGAATGTTCACAACTTGTTGTTGTGTTACGAGGCAAAGTAAAGAGAAACCTTTGGGATAGTTTCTTCATGCCAGCTCTGTTGTAATAGCACTGTTTAGTCAACCAAATTCTTTAATGTGGAATTCCCAATATAAATAAAAATCCTTTACTTTCAGGTACTAGTACACAGCAGTAACACATGCAATTTAGTTCCCTTGTATAGTTTTATAAAATAGAGAAAGAGAATAACAAAATCCTTTCATCGGTACGCTGCCAAATTTATGAAAGAACCACATTCTGGTTCATCAATGAATTGTTGTAATCTTTCTTCTTAAAATATCAATGGACAGAATACAAAATATTTGGACCACAGTGTGTGTGTGTGTGTGTGTGTTTGAAAGAAAAACAATGAGTGCCTTGCCTGCACAGCCCAGAGGTAGTCCAATCTTAACTTCAAATCCACCTGCCTGGAATGAAGAGCCAAAGCACAGGAGAACAGTAGAATGGCTAATATAGGTTCATAGCCACGCATATAAAAGGAACCACCCCTTTAAAAAGAATGAAAGGACACAATTAGTACAGATTTTTTTTTGAAGTGAAAACTTGATCTCATTTCTTGAATGACTAGTGAAATACTATGCATCTCCTGAAACACTCTTCCAGGGCCTGGTTTTCAAAACCATCCTCTGAAGAACAAGATACTTTAGGTTGGACACCCCAAAATCACTTGCCCTTTTTGAAAATGGATACTGCCATATACAGGGAGTGTCAGTGAAACGGGAACCTACTACAGTAATATGATCACTATATTACACCCCAAGACAAAAAATGTCCAACCACCCAATTTCTTGAATGTCTTACCTGACAAGATATTTATGAATAATATGAACACTATTCTGCTAAGTTTACAAGTTGAATATTATTATTTCCCCAGAGATGCTGACTTAATTCCACTTAAGACAACAGTGGAATGCTATAAGGACAACAGTAATAAAATGGAAGTAGACACAGTTTTGAATTATATAGCCTTTTCCTTAATTTTGCAGGTCACTTACCCAACTGCTTTTCTGTACCCACTGAGTTCCAAAATAACTATGTACAAAACTGTAACAAAAAGCAGGAGGATCATTTTTGGCAAGGAAGAGACGCGTAGAAATATTGCCAGAGTAAGAGTCCCCACGACACAGGAAAGAAAAGCATAATGGGCTGTGTCACATGGAAGTTCTTTCATTGTTTCATTCATTCCACCAGGAGAAATGATGACTATGGAACTGCTGGAATTAGTATTCCATAACCAAGGCATGCAGCCAATCTGGGGAAAAACAGAAAGGAGGAGGGGAAACCATTTAAAATGAAAACTTGATCAAAAGTACAGTCTGTTTATAGCCCCTTTCACTCAATCAGGTACGGACTAAAGGTCCCCAGATGTCTATTCCTCCCCCTTAACAAGGCTGTCTTTCTCCGCAGACATTTCCACCCTTGTTTCAGATAGAAGTCATGCTCTTTGTCCACTAGATGGCAGTGAAGCAAGAAGATTAAAATGTGAACCTAAAAAGCTCTTTTTTTCACTCAGACAAAAAAAAGGGCCCAAGACAGCATCTACTTACCAAGAATTAAAAGCATTTTAATAAACAATTACATGGCCTTTCGCTAGAAATGTTTTCATGCTCTCAGTGAAAGAAATCTGTTGATTACACATATTATTTAAACTCTACTGACTGAGTATATCCAGACTTGTAAAACAAAATGATACTGGCAGTGCTGTAGAACAGAACTGGATGAAAAACTGCTCTCCTTCACTTGGGGAGCTAAGCTTGATTTGTGTCAGCAGCCATATTTGTTTCAAATAGGATAGATACGGAACTCAGGATCCCTATCCTTGGTTATTTGTGAAACTCCATCTCCCTCTTCTTTCTAGGCTACATTCCCTTTGTCAGGAGGAAGCAGAATCAAATTCTTCCAAAGCCAATGTCAGTGATGCATCAAATTCCACCAACCTGGAAAGTGAGGAATCCCAAGTAAAAGACTTTGTTCCAATACATCAGGTGAGTTTTATTACACATGAGTTTCTACCCTCCACCAATGGAGAGGATAGGAGTTAATTTTAGCTGGGAGAGAAGGGTGATATGGGATTAGAATACTAATGTTAATAGGCACCTCTACATAAATCCCAACTGTACTAACACTTTTATTTTGAAGTGTATTATTAGACTTTTTCAAAATTCATACCATGCCATGAAATATATAAATGACAATCTGAAAGGTGATTAAGCAATGTATTTTATAGGCAGTTTGTCATTTAAGAATATGAAACATAACAGAGAAAGCATTAGGTGTTAATACATAATAGCTGCCACTGTGAAATGAGGTCAGAGAGTGAAAAAAAAATTAAGATATTTTTCTCAAGGTCCTTTAAAATGCCAATTGCATTGTAGAAGGGCTAGTATCTCAAAACTAAAGAACATTTGGGAGTTTTGTAAATTATATGCTATTCATCCAGCAAAACACCATCTGCTCTGTAACTTACATGAGTGAAACCTCCATGCTTAAAACTCTCTTATTATGGAAAGCTCTAGAGGAGTTTTTCAGATATTAATAGATTCCACTGGTAAAACATGTCAGCCAAACATTTAAAGATTTACAAGTTAATCTCAGCTACACTAAAATATAAAACTGTGACTGAAAGACACGGTAGAGCAAAATGGAATAAGGCAAGGGGAGAAATGGGATAGGGGAGATGGGGAAGAATTCTAGTCCTTATTTAGCTACCACTTTGCTATGTGGCCTTAGTCATAATCGTTTCTCTATCAGATTTTCACCATCTGTAAAACAGGGAATATAGCACTTGCTAATATCCTGTAATTACTTACAGCTAGATCCTCAAAGAGACTTAGACAGCTAATTGCCATAACAGTCCCCTCCTTGATCTGTGATAAAAGAGTCTTGGCACCTTACCTCAGGAGAGAGTTTAGGGCTATAAATCCCACATGGAGTGAGATGTTTCTCTTCAGTTCACAGTAAGGTCTGGACAGAATAGTACCATTTCTGCTCAGTGTTGTTTTTTTGGAATGTCTTTCCTTAGGTGCATAATGCCCTCCATGCTTTGTATAAGGAGCCTCAGTTTCTTAAACTGGTACTGGATGTTGTGAATTCCACAAGGCAATGAGGTACCAAAATCACAGTCAGCACAATAATCAGTACTGTGACATTTAGGTTCCTATCATGGCTCTAACTTGTAGTATTTCCATATCTTTATTTTAAAGATTTATGGTATTATAAAACAGCTACTTACAAATAAATGAAAATAGCTATTCTTATAAAGGGATGGAATTAAAATCACTTCAACTGCAGACAAAAACTGTGTAGCCAAATTAGACGATGTACTAGAAGTGGTTTGAAAGGCAATCAAAATACTCAACATTTCCATAGACATTTAAGTATCTCTTTTGAGGTTATCTATGTGTGCAGTTGAACTTTGTTAGCCATGAAACAGTGATTCTCAACCAGGGATGCCTTGAGATCCTTTCAAAGGGATGAGGTGCTGTTGGGTGTGCAATCATGATTCACAAGATAAACACAGAGATTTCAAATAGGAATCCACAGTGTCAAAAGCACTCCGACTTTCTGTGGTCTGTCTGAATTTTTTGCAATAGAAACATTTCAAAATAAAATTTTCCCTAGGCCAAAACAAACAAATGAAAACTAAGAGCTGGGGGTGGGGGGGGAATCTTGAGCAGGGACTTGAGTCTAACCAAAAATATCTCAAATCTAACCAGGGGTGCTTTGAGTCTAAAAAGGCTGAAAACCATTGTCATCAAGGTCTTCAAAGTATCTGGCACTTGACATTACCAAAATGTCACACCAAGGGCCAGACTGTATTCCACCTATTAGGTTTCTAAATGGACTTAGGCACCTAAGTTAAATTCTAGTCCACCCTGTTCAAGTCCTGAAAACAGTTAATATAGAAGGTGGGTGGGTCCTCCTCCTTCTGGCTGCTATTTTGTGACTTAGTCTTTAGAGTCAGATAATAGAATGTTACAACAGTAGATGCATTAATGGATTTACCGAGACTTGAACAAGGTGGATGAAAATTGTATTTAGGTGCTTAAGTCCACTTGGAAGCTTAATAGGTGAAATAGAAGCTGGCCCCAAGTAATGAATACTCCTGTAAGGTAGGTAGGTAGATATTTTTCAGAGATTAATTTCAGAGAATCATTTCAGAGATTATGAAATGGAGAGAAAAGAAATCAAGTGATTTTCCTAAAATCCTAGCTCTTTACTTGTGCCTCCCCTTAACTTGGCTTTTTTAGTTGCACAAAGATGCATCTTTACATACCACATTTAACTGAAACCAATAGCCACCTTGTATTACATTTTTTAAAAAGCTTGATCAAAACCCAGTTAAGTTAATTAAAAGAATTCCATCAGCTTTAATGGAAATTGGATGAGGCCTACTATTATTTGCTTGATGAAGACAAAACTTGCATGCACGTGTGTGTTTAAGTCCAAGTTTTCAAACAGGTTCCTATATCAACGTTCCTAAATCCCTGCTCAAGCTTCTAGTAAAAGTGGCCTGATTTTCAAAATTGCTGAGCTCCTGAAATGTCTATTTTATCAGTAGTTTCCATTATATCAGAGTAGCTATACCAATTCATATGGCTTGATATGAACATTTCTATGGCCTTCAATCTACAGAATGAACTTTATAACTTACTAGTAGTTTTACCACTGATATCTGAACACATTCTTAGACTCATAGCAATAAAAGTTAAAAGCTACACACAGTGCTATACAATGTCTATGCATATATTTACATTTTTAATCTGTGAGTGTGGATAAGAGTGAATGTTAATAGGTTAAGTTGGGGGCCTAAGTGCAATGTAGAGTAGATTGCTCTTAAACATAATGCTTGAGCTACGTAATACTGGATTGATAGACTCACCACACATCCTTGCGCCACAGAGTAAATTAAGATCACAATGAAAATACACAAAATGGTACGAATTTGTATTGTCAGGCACCCTGGAAAACACTGAAAGAGGGGGAAAAAGAGATATTAAATTGGATATTCTAAATCTACAAAATTTAAAGAAGAGATCTGTTATTATTTGCAAGGGCATCAAATTGTTTTGTCAATTACAAAATAAGCATAACATTATAATTGTAAGCACAAAATAAGCACAGAAATATTTTTTTCAACAAAAGTGAAAATTAATTTGTAAATCATTTCCCACTACAGTTAAAACTGTAATTTCATTTTATTTTATGATATTTGCTTACAATAATGACACCAAGCTAATCTGTAGCATTCTGCATTTTTTACATGGAAAAAGAAAATATAACTCTCTGGTTTGTGAAAAGGATGGAAGTCAAGAGGACAAACTGAGCATGAAATACTATGTTTGCTGCCCTCTTATGGGCTTGATCCTGCATCACTTGAGACAACAGGATTTTTCCATTTATTTCCTTTAATAGAAGCAGGATCAAATCCTATGGAACAAAGAAGTTACAGTGGGATACACTATTTTTTCTTTAGAAGATGTAAATTCATCTGGGCTGCTTTTGGGCTACAGGCAGTGGTGGTAAAGGAAAACCCATGCTGGTCAGAGATACTGTGTAAAATTCCAGTAAGCATAGTATCTACTAGGCCTGTGCGAGTAGGCAGCTGTTTGATCCGGCTTCAGATCTGGCTGCTTTGGATGCCAGGGATCCGATCCGGAGCTCTGGACCTGGTTTCCGCTTTGATCCGGCCAAAGCAGCTCTGAAGCTTTGGAGCCGCCTCGGAGATCTGGCTATAGGGTATAATGGGGGATCAATGAAATATCTATAACTGTGGTGTTTTTTGTCTGATTTGGATGAACCTTGCAGGGGTGGTAGCCTCTGCTGAGAGCATGAAGCCTGCCATGTTTCAAGAAGTTCAGTGCAGGGGTTTGGGGGAAACTGCACCTCAAGCTGCTGAGAGGCAAAACTCGTGACATAGATGACCCTGTGTGTGTTAAGGCGCAGCAGGCTGAAAACTGCAGGAACCCTCTCACTGATCTTCTTGAAACTTGGCAGGCTTTGTGGCCTCATCAGGGGCTACCATCCCTGCAGTTTTTACCCCACTGTGTTGTAACACATACATGTGACATGAGTTTTGCTTTCAAGAATTTGAGGTGCAGTTCCTCCCAAACCCCTGCACTGATCTTCTTGAAACTTGGCAGGCTTCATGCTCTCAGCACAGGCTACCACCCCTGCAAATTTCAGTTATAGATATTTCATTGATTCCCTATGGCTGGATCTCTGAAGCGGCTCTGAAGCTTTTCCAAAGCGCTTCAGAAGCTCCAAACCAGTTCGGAAAGCCTAAAGAAGCCAGTGCTTCAATCTGGACATGCTGCTTTGGACGCCGAAGTGGCCGAACCTTGTCTGGATCCAAAGCATGGTCTGAAGCCACGCACAGCCCTACTATGTACTTTACTACCTGAGAAAGAAAAAACATCATTTACACGTCACTTATGGAAGGGTCTTCTGTGGGCATGTGTCAACAGAGAACAAAGCTTCCCCTTTTGTGTGTGAAGACGTGGCCCCACTAGATTTACTGAAAGGATGGGAGACCCATAATTTGTGCCAGTTTTGGATGAACTATACTTAGCTGTGTTGCAAAACATAAGAACCTCACCTCAATGAATGATCAACCACATGACTCAACAGATCAGACTAGAACTGCATGTGTATAATATGATCTACAAATATATTGTAACTTGCCATGGGAAAAGATAAAATGCACATAAATGGAACATGGAAACTGTTAATACAACATCAATAATAAATTGCTATAAACTTGGTTAATACAGACTAAGCTACTGTGCTCTGGTGAATTTAATGGAATTATACCAGAAATCAATCTACCAATTTTGATAAAGTATGTTGTGACACCCATTGTATCACATTCATCAGTTTAGTAGAATAGTGATGATCTGTGGAACAAAGCTTTCTCATAACACAAGCTGTTATCAGGACACAGTTTATTCCAGCACCGTGAAATCCAAATGGTGCAAATTTGTATGTGGGGCCAGTTCTGTACCAAAGAATTTGAAGGCATGCTTGCAACAATGCTAGGAAGCTCCACGAGGGAAACATGTCCTGTTGGCTAATTCTTGTTTCACTAGTACCAAAACGCCAAAAAGTGTAATGCAGTCTTTATATGAGTGCTCCAGGGCTCATCGTGTGCTGCTCTCCAACACATTTGCTGGAGCATCCTCAGTGTCACCCTAACATATATCACTCCATAATCCCATCATATAAAAGGAGATATAATGTAATTGTATGTAGTAGACGATCCAGTTTTCAATGGAAGAAATTAAAGGATAATTTCCTTATCACTTACAAAACCACTAATAGCAACAGTGAAATGCAGAAAACTGTTAAGCACAAGGGTTACGTTGCACAATTAAAAGATGAGCAAAAGGCAAAATACAGGCCTTTTACCACATTACATAAGCTTGTAATGTTATGGCATACGCATGGTACAAAGAATAGCACATTAAGCTACGTTTAACCAGAAAGAAAACAAGCATAAGACAGACACATGGACAAGTTAAAGGTAGTTTCCTGAATTTCACAATATGAATATCACAACCACTATGTTTTGTTAGCATAGCTTTTGGCATGTCATTGCCTTTGTTTGCCTTTGGCTTTTGAGTACTATTAGGTGGTTGTTAACTAATGAGTCATCATCAGATCTCTTAAATGGCAAGTAAATAACTCTTACTGTTATTTTACAGGAAACAGAGGCACAGAAAAAAGAGTGACTTGCTCAATGTTATACAGGAAATGAGTGCCAGAGCCTGGGTTAGAGTACAGGAGTTCTGGCTCACAGCCCCATATAAGACAAAGCTGCTACTCAACTCCAACTGTTATAATACTTAATTTTCTCTCTCTATTAGGCCTCTATCTTATAAAATGCTAAAAGCCTCTAGAGCAGGGGTTGTCAAGATGGGTACCTGACAATGCCCTAGGGGTATGCGCGAGTGGGCAGCGATGGAGTGCCACCACGCACCATCCCACGCAGGTGTTGCCTGGTGGACCAGATGCAGAGGCTGGGGGAAGCTTGCACACGGCGACTCCCGCTGCTCCCTGTTCAGCTAGGTCCTCCTTCCCCCAGCTCTGTGTCTGGCCGGTGGTGGTACACTGCTCTGCATCTGGCAGCCGGGGGTAAACTGATCCAAAAAGGTTGAAAACTCCTGCTCTAGAGGAACCTAGAGTATGGTCAAGTCCTACTGATCTTCATAACAAAAGGACAACCTTTAAATTTGCCTCAAAAAATGTTTCTAAAGAAGAGAGATTTCCAACAAACAGCATAAGCATTTGAGAAGCAGATATAGAACAACAGATGATGAGCTGCTGCGCCTCTCTGAAACAAGAGACTAACAAAATCACTCCCAAATAATTGTCTAAGTTCATAAATAAAGATTTCCTCTTCACCAGATACTCTGTTAATTAAACTATTTGTTTCCAAAAAAACAATTACTCTCCCTTAGCCAAAGGGCATTTTTCTTAATTAAAAGGATTGTGTACTAATCACCAGTGCTGATTAATTGTGTAGGTATATTGTCTTGATATTTATCTGAAAAACTACATTTACACCAACCCAGCAAGGTACTTCTTTTGCCAGAAAATGAGTGTCTGTAAATCCTTATCCTGACTTGGAAGAAAGAATGTTCTCCTACAACTGTAGAATGTCTTTCTGCTGTTTCACTGTTTTGAAAATGTGATCTTGGGTAATTAATTACAAGTAGCAGATCTGACAAAGTCAGAGGAACTATGTATTAAGATGTTGTCCGTGGATGTCAATAGGAGCTTTTAGGGGGTGGTGGAAAAAAAGAAAATTGTATATAGCATAACCAGGGGTGCATAAGATCCTGATAACATTACCAATTAAGAGGTTGCAGAACTTAAAAAAAAAACAACACAAAAAAATGTCCCCAAAACCCAGGAGCGTGGGAACAATTCAACCATTTCTGCAAGAAATCCAGGTCTTGATGGTAAGGATTCAGAGAATGACAATGCATAGGGCTGGTGCAATAGAAATCCTTTTGCCCTAATATCAAGATTCACCCAGACATATTGCATGCCTATGAGTGAAGGAAAGTCTCCCTTAAAGCAAGTCAGCTTTGGTGTTCACATATGTTGCTTGGTGTCCCCTGTGTTGCTTTGATACATGTTAGGCACATCAGGAAAAAAACAAAGATTTCAGAACTAGATTTCTAATGCTCCGGCACTACGCAGTGTTCACTGGTGCCACGGCATTCCTAAAAACTAATGGAAAGTACAGAAACTGAAAGAAGAACAATCATAAAATCTCAAATCACTCACTTGTACTCGTGTGACATGAAGGTACATAATACAAGCCACTAGGAAGCATATGCAGAACACCAGGAGGACAAGGACTATGGTACTCCTAGAAGGAAAAAACAAGAAGAAATGAAGGAATGAAATTCCAGAGTGCAACAGCATTTGTGTTTTGTAGTGGCTTGGCAGATAAAAAGTGTTTTTACCACCTAGACAGAGGGAGCTCTCACCACTCTCTCTTGATCCATTTCCTTATGGTACTGCCTAAAACCCACTGCAGAAACTCATTATTCTCAGGAGGAACAATTTGATATTTTCTCTCAGATACAGTACATTTTAACAGAGATACAATAATCAGTTTCTGCACCCTGTGGTATAGTGATGGGTGCAGCAGCAGTGGTGGCTATTTTTGTGCCCCCTCAAAATTCGTACCAAGAGCTGGTGCCCTGCTCATCCATCCCTGCATTTTAAGATCCTAGTAGGGGAATCAAACTATATCCACAGAGTGCCTCGGGAATGCATATTACTTTTTAATTATAGGTTAATACAGGATAGCCTAAAACACACCATCTAAAATAAAAAAAAAACCCAACACATTTATTTAGTCTTTGAGGCTTGGCTACTCCATAACAGTTTCCAGATACATTCCAATTCCTTGTGAGTAAAAAGCAGTGATAAAGGTCAGAGATCTGTCTACTCAGTTACTTAAAAAAAATCCTGGACTACATCCTGGCCCTTATTTCTGCTGCTCCAATGATACAACTAGAAGGCCTTCAGACCTCATTTCTGAAGAGCCCCTAAGAAATTGAGGAAAACCTGTTACAAATCCTCTCACAGTCTTCCAAAGCAGAGTGCGAGCTTGAGGGAAAGAAGACATTGGTTGGGCTTTCCTGCATAATGGTGATCCTTGGTTACTGTAACAGCCTCTTGGGGATGTTGGCAGCCAGGGACAAGTTAGAGGGAGAAAAATAGTAGCTTAATATAACCTTTGGGCCTTTTTCTGTAGTTTTACAACTATGACTCAGCCAGACCAAAAGATGAGCCACTGCACATATGCCCTTTACTATCATGACTGAATAACATCTGCTGTTGAAGGATTTTAAAACCAAACAGTAGAAAGAAAAGAATAACTACTGGGTGTGGTATTTTTCCAGATCACTATATAATCCTGATAAATGTTTCTGATTTCAAATTCATACAAACATCTACAATAATGCAAGGATATTTTTGAATGGGTGATAATTTGGATGCCACCCACCCACCCACACATCTCTAGGTGCTACCACAAATAGGGCACACCTACACATGCATTAATGCACAGCAGTTACTGCACGTTTAGTGCACATGAACCGGCACTACTGCGCAGTAGTGCTGGCGCACACATTTTAGGTGATGCTACTCCACAGTAGACTAATCCCACTGCACACTAGCATGGCTTTTGCCTGCCAGGCTAGTAGAATTAGTCTACTGTGCTTGAAGTGTCTCATGTATATGTGCCCATAAATACTAAATAAATACTAAGCAGTAGTAGCACCAGCTGGCAGGCTCTGCTATGCTTTTGAAGCATTGACTTGTATTGTGGGTACAATCTTGTATTGTGTGTACAAACTCTCATCACAAAACAATGCAGGGGAGAGAGGGCATGTCATGAGCATTATAATCTGTGAGGGGACTCAGTATACTCTCCTCTCCATCATTGGTCAGCTTGAGCAGACAGAGCCATAGTGTTTCATTTGTTCATTTCCTTTGGGGGTGCAAGTACCACTTGTCACAAAGCCTGAAAATGGCAGACCTTTTAATAAGCACCAAAGCCCCCTTCTTCCACTTTGTATGCTCATGTAACAATGGGCCAATATCAAGACTTAACAGTATCTTGCTATATTAGTTTCTGAACTTTCCTCTGGGAACACTTCTCTCTTGTAATAGACATCAAGAACTTTCTTTCCTGCTCCCACTGTAACAACATAATACTCTTCATGACTTGCTTTGTCCCTGCAGGCCAGAATCCCTTTCATTATTACTTACTGCTTTTGACAATTTAAATAGCATTTCCAAGTTAAAAGTTTCATGCGTAGGGGAGATGTGGACTCTTTTTGCAATAATTTGCTTTTGCAAGGTTGTAGCACGCTTGATGCTGTGATTATGTCAAAATTATACAAGGATATTGGCCAGGATACTACTTAGAAGTGAGGTTGTCCAGGGTGCTGCAGGAAGCAATTCTAGCATTCTGTAGGCAGCACTTTTCTAAATGTATCAGTAATGAACAGTAGTGTAACTAGGATGGGGCAAGTGTGGGATCAGCCCCATGTGCTGAATATAAGGAGGTGCCAAAATCCTCTCTGGAAACTTCTACCATAGTAGGGGCAGCCCTGTGCTATAGGAGTCAGGCAGTACAACTCTGTACTCAGCAGTGCATCTGGAGGGCAGGGACAAGTGGAATGGTGCTCCTCTCCTCCCTAAAGAGTTTTTCTCCCAGTAGGTTCAGCCTATATTTTGGGACAGAAACAGGAGAGCCTGAGGGTGCAGCTCTGTCTGTACAACAGGGCTACAGACGTCAGACCATTTCTCTCTGCTGTTGCTGCTCAGGTTTTCTGCACAGGGAAGGCAGCTGTTACTTCTACTGTAGCTGTCTTCCATCTGCAGAGAGCCTGGGCAGGTAAAATTTCCCCTTCTCCCACCCTGCATCCCTCTACCCTTGGTGCTGAATGAGCTTACTACTATGCCTCTGGTAATGAACAAAAAGGTATTCCATGGTGCTGCTCCATCGGTAGTTTGTTTCTGTCAGACCAGATGTTAAACTGAAGTTTTCACCAGTTGGTTATTAAAGAAGCACCCCATCTTTTGAAGAATCAGTTTCAAACTACCACATTATATTGCCTACTCCAATTCATTCTGAAGCTTCAATAGCATCTGCTTTATTTTGTCACTTCCTATCCTAAATTGCTACATTCTGCTGCCGGACTTTACTTTGCAGGTAGGAGTAGCAATTTCTGTGTATACGTTCCCAAAGATCTCAATATTATGGGTAAGGGGGAAAGGGCTTTAGTTGATTGATCTTTAGAAACTGCTTTAAAATCCTCAGCTGAAAGATGATACAAACTTGAAACTATTAAATAATGATAGTACGAAACTTTTATTTAAAAACAACTTTCAAATAAATATTATTCTGACTGAAAAATTGAAAGCAGCTGAAGCGGCTGAAGTTAGTATGGTATTTGCAAAGGCATTCAGCTGTGGCCTAACTGGCCATACAAGTCCTAGTGACATGATGAGAACAAGGTTAAGCTAATAGGAAGTCCCTCACTATAAAGGACATAAGCCAGGATATTTTTTATTCACTTGAAAAATGTCTTCACCCAACATTATCTGTAATAACTCCTTAGGAAGTTGAAACAGAAGTCTGATTATTTACCAAAGAAATAAATAATTATTCATATACATCTGCTTGTGAGAGTCAGTGGCCATTGCTGAATTATGTGAATCAGCCAATAAACAAATAAAAATACAAACAACAAAAGAAACACAAAACTCAACTGCAACTCATAATACATCTACACTACAGTCAATAGCTGACTGCAGGTTACATAGACACACCTGAGTTAGATTTAGCTAGACAGCTTGTAGCTGAGGCAGCACAGATTTCAGCACAGGCTAAAACACTGCCCAAAAAGCTGGGTAAATATTCAGGGTTAGCTTGTGCTAAGCACGGTAGTGTTACAGCTATATTGCTAGAAGAACCAAAGGTAGCTAGCTTAAAGCTATCTTGAGCATGTCTTCATTCACAGACAAAGGTATGGCTATAGCTGCATAGACCATACCCTAACTGATTTAATGAGTGTTCACATTGTTTTCCTTCAAACATATCTTCTACACTTGTGGGGTTTAACCATTTTGGCAGGTGTACTAGCCCTGAATGCCACTTTGATCTCTTTCCCTTACTCATTCTGCTGCTCTGCTTTCTGCTTCCTGACCTGTGCTCCCTAATAGGGCCGTGTGAAGCTTCAGTCCCTGATTCAATTCAGTGGAGAGTTGGCCCAATTCAGTGGCTGAATCTCTGAATTTGAATCGAATCGATCAGAGGACCCTTTAATCTCTCCAAATTGAATCAGACCCTCCAAATCAATTCGGAGAGATTCGAAAAGATTCGGTGATTCGGACATAGACACAGATTTAAATGTTTTTTTCTATATACCTCTAGGTAGCAGGTGGCTTGTGAGTGCTGTGATGCTGGAGCACATGGAGTGTCCCACAGAAGCGCGGGGGAGTCCCCAGTGTGCTTGGCAGCAGATCCGGAAGTGGACCACAAGTGTTTTTGGCCCACTTCTGGGTATGTCGGGGGGCGGGGGGGGGAGCCTCCGCACCCGCCCGGCTCAGCAACTGGTGTCTCCTGGGTCTGGGTACTTCCGGTCCACTTCTGGGTTTGCCACCGAGCATGTGGAGGACGTGCCCGCACTCCTGTAGGATGCTCCATCCACCCCAGCATTGCAGTGTTCACAAGCCACGTTGGTATCTCAAGGTATGTAGAAGAAACATTTAAAGCTGTGTCTATGTTCAAATTGCTGATTCTCTGAATCAGCATTGAATCTTCAGATTCAGATTCAGCCAAATTGAATCATGGACAATGATCTGAATTGACAAATCAAACGACTGTCCCTGATTCGGGTTGAATCTGAATCCGAGTCCAATAGGACCCGCTTCACACAACCCTACTCCGTACATGAGCTGCTTTCTGCCCTATCAGTCACTGTGCTGCCTGTCCCTTCTCCAATCTGTCATAAGCCATAAAGAAGCTGACTAAGCTACTTGTGGTGCTTGTACAGCAATTTGGCTACCCCTGCTCTACACATTTATTACTGGGGGAGGGGAGGTGTTAATCATTGTGCTTAGGCTACTGATAAAGAAAAGAAAGAGAAGAACAGATATTTGTTTTCAAAGAGCCAGATGCACACCGACAAACTGGAGAGACAAGGCTGATCATCAGATTTAGGATGTACCAATCTTGACCATATACTTTAGAAAGGACATGTCAAATATCTTGTTTGGGTTTTCACTTTCTGTGCTTTGTTATAGGTAAAGTGTGTTTCAGTTTTCACTCCAGAGTATATTTGGCTGTGCTCTGAATGCAAATGGCAAAAGATACTTACTGTGGTATTATTAGAAGGTAGACAAGGCCAAATAAGGCAGCTAGAATTAGTGAGAGACCTACAGCACTGGTGAAGTATTCATCCTGAAGCTGGTGGTACTGCAAAAGAGAGGAGATGAAAGAGGACAGTGAGCTGGAATATATAATTCTTTATTACTTTGAACACAGAACAGCATCTCATATCGTTCCCAAACTTCTACCTTTCAAACTGGAATTATTTAGGATTTGTCTTTGCCCAGGAGTGAATTGATATTCGAAGGCTCGAGGAAAAAAAAGGTTTAGTCATTTTGAGTCAGAATGGGGAAAAAATAAATACACCGTTCCCATGACAAAGAAAAATCCTTCCTACCATTTTCAACCAGCTCTGCATCTGTAACAGCTGAGGCAAGACTGTTAAAATATACTATGCAAATAGTTTTTATTGAGACGTGGGTGAACGGTCTTGGAATGACTGGTTTGGATTTAAACAAGTCACAAGCCTTAAAAAACAATGTGCTCCCCTGATGAAGAATAAAGAATATTAAATGCCATACTCCAACCTCAGTTACACTGGGGTAAATCTGGACTTTTTTTGCTCAATCAAATGAAACACTCTAGCTTTGCACCAGACTAACTGAGGCTAGAATGTGGTGCTAAACCTGGAAAGCAGGGCATGTGCACCACTGTAAGATAGGCAGAGCCTATGCCAAGGACTCCATGCACACACAGTCCCTGACAGCTTGGTAAATTGTAAGAAGACTTGGGAAGGTGTATAACCAACAACTCTACTACAGTGCACCTTGCAGGATGATCTCGGTTATCTTTTAGTGCACGGAACAGAACTGTCTCATGACCTTTATCCAAAGAGTTTCAGATTATGGAGTTTGTGCACCACTGACCTTTTTCACTCCATATAACCCTCTTCTGCTCCCTTAAATAGAAGAAGGAGGCATAGAACTGGAAATTAATTCAACTTGATGTATACAGTCCCTTGCCTTTAGTTGGTGGTGACAACATATTCTTGACTACAAAATGCCTTACATGCAAAAAAAGAAAAAGTAATCGAGAGCTACTGCTAAATTTGTTTGTGTCACGTGGCTTGTACTTTTCCTTACTTAAAAAAAAATACCCAGATGAGTTGGGGATAAATACTTTAGAGTTAAGGTTCTATTCTTCAGTGAAATTAATAGAGTTACTCTTAGGTTACAACCATGTGCATGAGGTAAGACCAGAATGTGGTGGAGAGTATTAGGCCTATAAATCTAATTTTTCTAGGGTGAGATTATCCTGTATCAGAGCCATAAACTGAAGAAAGCTTTGGAATGTGGCTCTCCCCTCACCTGGTGGCTGTCTACCATGCTGAATGGTTGGTAGAATAGAGAGTAGGACACAAAGGGAGTAGGGCACTAGGTAGAAACTTGACAATTTGAGACAACCCAGAGCCAAGGCTTTCAGCCTCACAGAAATGCTGAAGAAAAAAATAAAATGTAGCCCTTCTAGAGTGGCATCATAGGGAGTCTGCGTGAGTGATTGTGCATCCCAAAAATGGGATTCCCAGGACTTCAGGATAGGCTCTTTGGACTATTACACAATATAAGTAGTTTAATTGCTACTGTCCCAATGGAATGACAAGGAAGAAACTCTACAAAGGAGACCTCACTGAGATTTCCTTCCAACAAACTTCCTCTCTTCCCCTGTCCCTGAAGAGTGTCTTCCACAAGAAGGGGGAGGTAAAATCCATTTGTTGGTTCAGACACAGCCCCCATAATATTATTTCAAAATAGTGAGAAAAATGTGGACCTTCTCTAAGAAGGCACAACTCCACTGACCCATTCTCTGAAGAGTGCAGTTAGTAGAAGGATCACTTACTTTATGTTCACGTTCAATTTGTTTGTACTTCAGGGTAATAAAATTCAAGTCAGCCATCTCAGACTCAGTTTGCCGGGCCTCTATCAAACGGCTGATGTATCTGTTTACTCGAGTTCCTGGAGTGTTGTATACAACATTTGTAGAAAAGGAGGAACGATTCCTGAGTTTTTCAGAGGCTGTCCTTAATGCTCTCCTCTGTAGCAGAAATGGAAACAAGAGGATGGTCGGTTGCTCTTCACAGCACAGATGTTATTAAAACTGGAAATGTCTCTTATTAGACACGGAGTGAAAAAAGTACTGGCAGACTCAAGACCATGCTCCTCAGCTTGGGAGTCCAGCCTCTGTGCCAAGGCTTCTTGCTGTATTTCTACTACTAAAGTCAGAAATCCAGAGCCAGGGGAAAAAAAAAAGACAATGCACAGCTCTTATACCAACATGTTCGTAAGCTAACTGAAGTTTAAGTTTAAATTTCTCAGATGAGATTCTGACTTAAGTAATATTAGTGGCAACGCTCCTGTTGACTTCAACTGGTCCTGAACATTACTTCTGATCCTTGAGAATTGTCATTATTTATTGTCCTCCCCAAAAATTCGCTCTGCCACTCTGAACTGCAAACTCCCTTGCAGTTTGCAAGGATGTGCATCTGTACATCTTGTGCAATGACAGCATGTGACTTTGAATATTTTTTATGCCACAAATTTAGTCACAGATAGAAAGTTTTAAAAGCTATTTTTTAAAATTACTTTTCCTATATTACCATTTTTTGTTGTTACTCACTCTGCATATATATGCCTGTATCCTGCCCCCAATTGAGACAGGTAGAGATGTAGAGAAACAACACCAAAGGCACTTAGGGCTAGATCCAACGATAGACTACATTACCCAAGGGAAGGCTAAAGCAGAAGGGGGGCAGTATCCTGGATGTCTTGGTTTTCCTTATGGTCACCTACAGTTAGGAGCCTAGAGCTCTGTTACTGCAGAAATCAAGATGCCCTACCTGGGAAGCCTGGCAGCTAGTTCACACCTAATTACAGCTGTCCCACTGAGGCATTTCTAACCCTGACAGAAGTAGTACCCTCACAAAATGTGTTATTTTATAGTGAGGCCAGAGGATGAGGAGGAGAGAAGGGCACCCACCTTTCTATAACAGCCTTCTGGTTACATGATTTGCCCAAGAAGTGGGAAACTTGGGTTCAATCCCCTCTTCCACCTAGGGAGTGAAATGGTCAAACTTACATCTCCCACCACAATGGAGAGTATGTTGGGTGGGGTATTGTCCACCATTTCCAATGAAACTGCTCCACTCAGCTGCAAAGAATTCAGGTTGTATATAGCCAGAAAGCAAAAAAGCAAGTGATAGAAAACATGCCTCTAGTCTAGTGGTAATGACACTCCCACTGGGGAGGAGATCATGGGCTCTGGTTTCTATTCTCAAGGCTGATTCTGCATGTTACATTAAACGATCATTAGTGTAGGTGACTGGAACCAAGCACTTCCACCTGTGTGGAGGACATCCTACCCAGAGATTGGGTCTTGTGGTCTCATTCTGGCCCTGTGATTCTTGAATTCTTTGCTGTAAGGTGGCACAGCTTCCTTTTGTCCCCTCCTCCCACTAGCCTATGTTACAGCCTAGCTGTTAGGGCACTCTCCTGGTAGTTGCTAGATGTGGGTTGAAACCCTTCAGGCTGAAAAGAGAATTACATCCAAGTCCCCCACTTCCATAAGCTAATCACTAGAATGTCATATAAAATTTTGGCAGTACCATGGCCAATCCTGTTTGAAAGCATGGAGTTAGGTGGCCATTCTCAGGACAGCATTCTAGGTTGTGGATTCTAACTGGGCAGAGGCACTTCTGCAGCCTTGACAGAGAAGCCTAAGACCTGGAGAGATCCAGGAGTTCAGACATGCCCTGAGTTTAATGTTTGCTACTGACTAATCTTACAGGGCTCTTCAATCAGCATACAGATTATTTGGATTCTATTCTGAAGGTCCTAACTCTTCCCATGCACACTGTATTGTAAACTGAGATGCCTAGCAGAGATTTCTGGATTCTACTCTGACACCAAGGCATCAGAAAGTTAGGAGCCATAGTGCCCAACTTCTGGACATCCAAGTCTTCTGTTAGATCTAGCTCTTTGTGCCCATTGCCATTGATTATGCTCAGTAAAATCTCATACATATAGTTATAGCATTACCTTTTGCCTAGGATTTCGGTCTAGTTTATACCTGTACAGACAAGCTTAGGCTGTTTTGACATAATCAGAAGAATATTGCTATTACCAAACAAGCACAAGTTTCAGGAATGCTATCTAATGCATTCAGAAATAACAAAGCCTTTCAAACAAAAAATTGTCTACCACCTACGATACAACTGGAAGCATCTTCATGGTCACTATCAGCAACTTAATAAAAAGATACAAGGTGCAATCAATGTTTGCACTGTTCAGAGTAATTAATTCTGAATAATCCATTTAAAAAAACCCACCAACATCATTATCAGCTATTTTAAGATTCTCTCGCAAAGTCACAGTTCAGAGGATAAAGGTGATCAAAAAGATGCTGAGCATGGATACATTAATTCAGTATTAAGAGAAGTTTACATTTGTACTGGACATATGAAGCAAGTGTAATTGAATTTCTAAAAAACCAAAAATGTAGGTTAGCAGTCGTTTAAATAACACGTACAAACATACTTCCCTGTACAGAGGATTTGGGTAACCAAACCAGACCAGTGGCTTATGATGTGGTCCCTGATAAATACAGGAAGAGACTCCACAGCACAGGGTAAAATACCTTTCCAATTCTTCTTTCAGTGATTTCTAGCTGTCATGTATAAAATATATATAACAACTGCATGCATCAATGTTTCTATTTCTGTCTTGCTTTATGCAAATGATGTGCTAGTAATGTCAGAATCCCAGATAGCTCTCCACAAGTTATTAAATGCCTTTCAGTAGTACTGTGTTTCAAACAGCTTGGGAACCAACACTGTTAAGCACAAATTACTGTTTTGTGGGACTTTTTTAAATAAAAAAAAATCTGATCTGGAATAAACACATCAAAAGCATAAGCATTTGTCCTTTTATCCTTTTACAGTAATACCAGTAAAAGGATACTGGCATCACTAAAGGTGTATAGATCTAAGGGAGAGTCCATTTTATTGTATGGAGCACAACTATGGAGTGCTGACCCCATGGTTCAGTAAAAAAAGAAATAAAGAACATTTTAATTATTTTTGAAGGCAGCTTTTATCTGTACCATATTCTGCGACAAAGTGGCTCACGTAATCTGAAACAGGGCCATTTAATGCGAGTACTTGAGCTCAATTAAGAACTATAAATTATTGGATAAAATTTAGAGCCTGTATCCCTATCAGATATCGTAAGAAGTACATTTAAAAGCCTCTCCTCTTCCAAATAAAACCTTGTTTGGATGATTAAATAACATTTCTATTCTCCTCCAGATGAATGGCCTGAGAAATGTCATTGACCCAATATTGCCTCTATGCTTAAAACAAGTTATAATTTAAGAATTAAAGATGTCACTGTGCAGACACATGTGCAGGCAGCAAGATTTACTTGAACTTACCATTTTTTAGATGAGTAAAGCACTCTTTTGGCTTAGAAACCTATCTATGTGAATTACGAAACAACAAACAATGAGAAGCCATTACCAGACTGCAATTCACTCAAGATATACAGCCATTACAAGCAGGTGGTGTTAGACTAGATATACAGAGTGAATACATTTTTGTAGGAAGAATAAGATAAACTAGTTTAATCATTATTTGTGGGCTTGCTCATTCTTTGAAGAAATAAGAGGTAAATGGATCTCTTCAGTGGTGGAAAATGGTAAATGTTGGGCTAATGAGGAAAAACAATAGCTCCTCCCTAACAGCTTACAGCCTAGGCTATGCTTCCTAGGTGTACTTGCATTACTTGCACAAAAAATAAAGGCTGAAATCAAATTCCCCTGCTCTGTTCTATTTTCTGCCTTTGTATATTGTTTCATTTTTGTATTTTTGTATCAGTGTATACAGTATATCTGTATATCTGTTTTAATTTTGTTTCAACTGGTAGGATGTAGAAACTTACTGTATGCTTTTAACAATAAACAAATTGTATCATTTTATTATCACTGTTATTGTATGGTTTTAGCAAAAGCTATGCATAAACTATTACTACTATATAAAATATAGTCTTGGTATTACATAACTGAGATAACTAAACATCCTATCCAAAACTTCTCAGGTAATAAGAACAAGTTATTTCTATTATTTTCGCCAATTTTGTTCATCATGACAGATGCCCTTATTAAAACTGAAGTAAAAAAACCCAGCACATTAAATATTTCAGCCTTCTCTACATCATTCGTTACAAGATTGCCCTCTTGGTTCAACAGAGTACCAACACTTTTTGTAGACCTTTTACTTCTACCATAGTTGTGGAACAGTTTTTTGTTATCTTATATATCCTTTTAGCTGCATCTCCATTTGCACCTGGGCTTTCTTGATATTCTCACTGCATGGCCATGTGACAATTATAATCATCCCAAGTTATACTGACAAATTTCCATTTTTGAAAGATTTCTTTTTGAGTTTCAGTTAATTGAAGAGGTGTCTGTTTACCCAGATCAGTCTCTTGCTGCGATTCTTATCCTTGCTTCACATCAGGATACCCTGCTCTTTTACCTTAGAGACCATATTAAGGGTGCAACTAGCTCTCTTGGACTCCTTTACCTCTCAGACTTGCCTCCCATGGGATCCTACCCACCAGCTCCCTGAATTTGTTAAAGTCTGCTTTTCTGAAGTCCAATGCCTTTGTTCTGTTGCTCTCCTTCTTTCTGTATGTTGGACTTTTGAACTCTTTCATTTTACAGTCACTGTCACTCAAGCTGCAGTTGCCTTTTTCCTTCCTATTCTTTGACCAACTCCTATTTGTGAGCAGTGAATCAAGAAGATCTTTTGAACTAGCCAGTTTCTCCACCATTTATACCAAAATACACCATCTATACTCTGACACGCTCCAAAAACTTGCTGGACTGCCTGTTTACTGCTGTGTTATCCTCCCAACAGATGTCACAGTGCTTAAACATCCTATCAGCACATGGTTTGAACAGCTGTTTGAAAAATTCCTCATACACTTTTTCCTCTTGGTTTGGTAGTCTATAGGAGAGGCACATCATGACATCTGCCTTAGTGTTCTCCCTTCTTCCCTTGACATAGTACTGTCTTGCCACTTGCCTGCATGGTGTGTTCTTGACCCCACTGTCCATCTTCGCTATGTTAACACCCATTGTATAGAAATGATATTTTAGCAAAGATGGGAAAGTTTTGAAGTAGTTACCGTAGTGCAGATGATATTATTATTATTCTGATTATAGCTTTTTAGTGATAGTGCCACACACACTGCAGTAACAGCATGTTTCCCTGTTTTGTGTCTAACGAAATAGAGACATTTATTGCACATGCAGTTAAAGACCTTGGAAAATCTTATACTGTAAATCTTGTACGTCTTATTCATGAATTACCTTGTCATCATCCTCACATGTCATGACATTGGAGAAAGGGATTTCTGCTTTGAACATTTTACGACAATGCATGAGTTGTACAAGCAGGTAGCAGACTGTTTTGAACTTCATTCTTTTGGCTGGTTTTATGTCTGAGAGAATCAGTCCTGGAAATATCTGTTAGGCAAATAAAAGAAAAATATAGTTATACGAGATGCATGCACACGTTTCCATTTACATATAAGCATATGTATCTATGTAAATTAGCATCATGCAATGCGAACATGGACACCTGATGAGATAATATTCTGATTGGTAAACAATGCTTTTATTATACATCTCATTTCCCTAAAGGACAGAATGTTTCTCTTTTTGTACTGGACATACAGAACATACTCAGCAAGCTGTAGGTAAGCACACTGTAATTAACAATATGAAAAATTATTGATATATAAATTTATACTATACAAAATACCACATTCGTGACCAATATCAAAGGGGCCTTATTTGTATTTTTTTTTATTTTACAATTATTTTTTTCCTGATAAATAAATTAAAAAGTAACTAGGAAATATAAACGCTTTTTAGGTTGTTTTTTTCTTTTATAGCATTTCTGTCTTGTTCGTACCATTATTAAATTGTTTTGGCCACAGGAGGCCATCATTTGCGCAAATGGATGAAAACAAATTCTGCTTTTAAATAAACATGTATTTAAAAACATGCTGAGGAGGGAAATTATAGACCACATTGATTGTACCTTACATCTGGCTCTCTCAAAACTGGGAACATAGAGCCATACAGAGGGATTTGGGGATAAGTGTCTCTTAGTCTACTCTTTTCAGCAGAGTTCCCCATTCAGGAAACCACCTGCTAAGCTTTTAAATTCATGCTTAATTCCCACTGACTTCAGCAGAGCCTGATCTCCTGTACAAGTGCTTTTGTAGATCAGAATGAAAGCAACAGCACCTTGATGTATCCTCCTTGATGCACCTTGATGTCACTATTAAACCCTCACTATGTTGGATTCATGCTTTTGGTATTTGTACAGGGAGTAGAGTAGGCCCCAATGACTACTACAATGGTAGGTATTTTATAAAATTAGTTTGCACCTAGTTTGGGCACAAAAACTGAGAGACAGAATATATCACCTACATGTCACCTTACAGCAACACAGTGACATGCTACATCAGTGTACAGTGTGCTACGGCAACGTAGAGATCATGTGGGTCTACACCTAATTGGCAGCTATGTTACTGTAGTGGTGTGCTCGCCTGTTTTAGTATGCTGTTATTGCAACATAATGGCAAAATATAACTGTGCACCATGTGCACGGTGCAGTATGGGCAGTTAGTAAGCTGTGCTTTAGTACATACAAAAGGAAGTACTAAAGCATGGTGCCGTAGCCATGTCACTGTATGGTGATGTGTAGAGGCACCCAATATGCTCTGTCATGTTCATAAACCTAAAAGAACATATTCATTCTAAATAAAGACCAGATTTTATCTTAGGACCTCATTACATGTTATACAAGCAAGTTTTATAGTAAGCATTAATATGCTTTTGAAAGGTTTCTTAGCAGTTGTACATTAATGCTTATTATGGTCTCGAACCAGCTCTTCTAGGATCCCAAGGATGAGATCAAAAATCAGCTGATATTTGCTCTCATTCCTGGCATCTCCGTAGGCTTGGTGCAGAACCAGCATGGCATGGGAGCAGGTCGCAGTCCCAGTATCATACATGTGCAAGGCTCTGGAAGCAACATTTGGATAGCACAGGAGTGGCCAGTGGCCCCTGCACAGCGCTAGAGCCTTGCACCAGCTGCCATGTGGTACGGAGGCTGTGTGCTCCCTCTGCACTGCACTGAAGCCTTGAACCAGCAGGGCTCTGGGGGGAGAGTGGGGAGCAGGGTGCCTGACAGGCTCCCCCTCACCACCACAGTGGCTGGGTTACCTCTATGGAGCAGTCTGATATTAGCTCAACACATTAGGTAATACTATGTGGAAATACTTTTTGTTAGAAAAGATCTAACTTCACTATGTTGTCATGGTGCTTACATGCTTCACTGCTTGAACGGTTGAAGACCAGTGTTAGAAGTGTAGTTAGCACACGTTACGTAAATGTGTAACAAGGCCCTCAGTGAATCATCTTGAGCTAGTTAAGCATGCCACTGAAAAGGGCAGGAGGACTTGCTTTGCAGATGGTTTTTGAGACAAGAGGACTATAAGAGGCATTTCTGAGACAAGAGGAGCAGAAGTGGCATTTTTGTGGCTCTGCTGAATGCCCACAACTGGATGTCACTCAGGATTCTGGGGGAAACAATCCCTAGTTCAAAGCCATTTCCCCTGTGGCACCTCTCTATCTACACCAACCTCCCCTGCAGTCTTGCTAGGGCTCCCAATCCCATTCACCCCTCTCTCTACCCATGTTACCTTAGATGGGGCTCCCAGCACCTGTCTAATAACTGAATTAAATCAGGTGGCCATTTTTAACCTCTTAAACTTCTACTTGTAACATCTG